TTAACATCCCTCGTAACTTTTTTCCAGCTTCTTTTCGTTGAATTATGTTATATAAATAAATTTAAAGGGCGTCGAGAAAATGAATTTAGCGAAGTTTCATTGAAATCTGTACATTCGTTTAGGAGCTACAGTCTATAGCAACGCAGGTTTTTCGGCCGCCATTTTGAAAGTTAAAGGCAGAGAGTAATGTCGATGAAGGAGGATCATCCTCGGGTGACCTCTGATTTTATATCAAAATTTGAAAAAAATCGGTCCAGTAGTTTTGGAGAAAATGCGCGGACGGCGGACGGACAAAACAAATTGTATTCGTTTTTCGAATTCTACACATCTTGAAACGTGAAACCTCAAATTTTGAGAGGGGGTTATGTTTTTGAATTTTTTGGTAGATCACAATGTTTCATTATTGAAAATAATAAACCAAAAGCAATAAAATTAATGGATACTAATAATAAAAATGCAGCCAAAAACATTATATATAATATTTTGGTTAATAATTTCATCAACAAGCAGTGGTACAAACATATTAATAATAAAAATTATGATAATACGAAAGATAATAGCTGATATGAAATACTAACAAATACTTTTGACATAAGAAATAGTAATATAAATAAAAGAAGTAAAAATAAAAATCTCATAAAAAATTACTTTAAAATATTAGATAGAGAAGAAAATGCAAATAAAGGCAATCAGGATAATATAGAAAAATAAAGCAGGAAAAATCGTAAATAGCACAAACTAATATATAACCCAAGATTAATGAAAAAATAAAAAATTGAAAAATACGATCACAATGGTATAAATTTTGGGCTGTATAACAATAATAAACTAGAAAAACATATTCCACATATGAAGGACAGGATAAAAAAATAGATAAAAAAGACATCATATGTAAAATTCAATGTATGCAATACCCTCAACAATATAGAGGAGAAACATCACAAAATTTAAAAAATAGAATTAAGCAACATAAAACCAATATTGTAAAAATTTTAAGCAGAACGGAAAACAATAAAATTAGAAAAATACTCGTACCTATACACATAACTAAAAATACTTTTCAATAGCAAATAATAATTTTCAAAGCAGATAATTAAAAATATCGGGAAACATTATTTTCATATATTAAATGAAATTATTTTCTATGTAGAGAATATCATTGGAATAAAAACATCAACAACGCTATATCCCATTTACATTAGCTAATTCCTACAGGGGAATACATCCCTTAAGAGTTCAAATGTTGCAGTAATATTAAACAATAGTAGAAGAAGGTAGTGAGAGTAGGTAGAGTGCTGAGTTCGGTGTGAGTATACAAATTAAATTAAATAATAATAGGAATCCGGCATTGTAAATATCTTAATTTTGAAATGACTGCACCTTTTAATCTGTTTTTATTGTTTAGAATTGACAAGTATAATACAAAATGGCAATAAAAAGCGAGGAACATGATGTTTTTTATTTTTGTGGACCAGAAATAAATTATAATAGAATGTTTTTGGATTTTCGTAAGTTCTCACAGTAGTATTGGCATCATACATTTAATTGTCATTTGATAATTAATGTTTATAGTTAACAATGTTTTTTTTTACTATTATAGATAACTTGAGAATGAGCAAACTGCACAAAACGTTGCTGAAAATTGAATAAATAGTAGAATTAAAGGGCTTAAATTTGCTCATTTATGTTTTTTAGATGAAGATTAAGAATTTTAACATAGATAAGATTTCAAGCGAAACTCGCTTCAAAAAGGAGTGGTAAAAAAAAAAAAAAAAAACTTACAGAACAAGTTATGTAATTACTGTATGTACTTCATATATTGTGTAAATTAGTTTAAAATTAAGGTATGGTCTTCAATTTAATTATAGTATTCATATGTTACTGTAAGTTACGTTGTATGTGTCAATATGTCATATGAATAATTCTTTAAGAAAAGAATCTGTAAGAAAATGATAAAAGTTGAAAAAAAAAATGTTAAGATGTAACTTAGAAGGAATCTTTAAAAATTTATGTTTGTATTGAATAAGTAATGTGCAGATGTTTCAGTATTCACCTAAATTTAATTTAAAAAGAACAAAAAAATGATTTTACTTAACATATTTTTTTTTTTGCCCGGAAGTAGGAAGAAATGTAATATACACCTTAATTGAAAGTTGTTAAAAATGATTTAGTAAATTAATGTAAAAGTTAAAAAGCAAGTTAAACTAGTTTAGACAAAAGAAAATAGCTACTCTGTAGTTTCACCAGAAAGGAAAATCCTAAAAAGGAGTGGGGATGGACAAAGGATTTTGTTTTGGCAAGCAGTTGGTGTTTGGCTGGGGTGAAGAGAGGATGGGAGAAGGGAACCTGGCTCCAGTGGGTAAAACCCAGTAATAGAATAGAGAGACTAGTGGTTTGGAATTACAAGAGAGAGGATCTCCCAGGAGCTTGAATAGAGTAGAAGAAAGTGTCACCATTTTGGAAGAACATAGGAAAATGTTAGAAGACAAATGAATTCACTGACACAAAAGAAGAAACAGTGTACATAGAAAAAAGGTTAGCTTGCCAATCCATACTTGACTTTATTTTAAAATCAAACAGTGTTTAGTGTAGTTAATCTGTTTGAGTGTTTTGATCTGATTGGCAGTAACCCCTATCTTGAGATAAAATAATTATAAAGTTTAGTTTAATAAATAAATACTCTTATAATTTTGTTTATTATTTAATAACCTCTTATTTCTTTTGTAAGTAATGCAACAGTATAAAGTCAGCTTTCACCAGGTTATATTACCAGTTTAAAATATAAGAGAAATGTAAAAAAGTTTTTAAGAAAACAGTTTTGATATTGAGAATATTAATTTGGAAAAATGAAAAAAATCCATCAATCAGAACTCAATTCGATCACATAAGTGCCCGTCATGTCTGGAATTAGGGATGAAAATAACAATATCCTGACCGATCTGATAGACATAGTAAATAATTTTAAGAACCACTTTGACAATATTTTAAATACGGGAAATTATGATCTCTGTCCTTCTTCTGAGTACAAGAGTGCTGAATCATTAATAGAAGAACTGAGTAAAGACGAAGTTGAAGTAGCTATTGGAAAATTAAAAACTTATAAAGCAGCGAGAACCGATAATATTCCTAGTGAACTAATTAAGGCATGCAGAGAAACTTCTAAAATACATTTGTTGGTTAAAAATATCTGGGAGAATGAGAAATTACCTGAAGAATGGAAAGAATCTATTCCGATTTAAAAAAGGAGGTCTGGGGACGGATTATAATAACTATAGAGGAATTTCACTCCTTCCAGGATGTTATAAAAAAATTCACTTTAATCTTAATTGAGGAAAATCTGATCTTAAAGCCAAGAAAATTATCGGAGACTACCAAAACGGATTTAGACGGAACTGTTCGACTATTGATCAAATATTTTCTTTACAGCAAATATTGGAGAAAAAATTAGAGTACAACGGTGTTGTTCACCAGCTGTATATCAATTTCAAAAAGGCTTACGATGCCATTGACCTTCAGAAACTGTATAATATTCTAATCGAGCAGAGGATTCCAAAAAACTTAGTAAATCTAGTCAGAATGTGCTTGACGGAAACACTTAATAAAGTTAGAATTGGTAATAATTTATCTGAAAAGTTCGTTCTGGTTTAAAACAAGGTGATTCTCTTTCACCTGTTCTGTTCAATTTGGCATTAGAACATGTCATCAGGGAGGTAATGTGTACTGAAAAACGGTTGGATCTGGGTGGGACAACACCCGTGCATGGCTATGCGGATGATCTGATCCTGGTAAGCGAAGACATGGAAACTATAAAACTAAATACTACAGCGTCAATGAAGGCCGGTAAAGAACTAGGGCTCAAAATAAACACGGATAAGAGAAAATATACAGTTAGTAGCAAAAATGGCGATATTGCCGATGATATCGATAGAGAAGGTTTGAGTACATATAGAAGTTTAGTTATCTAGGGTCTACGATAACTAGAAAAAAAAAAATTGAAGAGGAGATTAAGGTTAGGCTGAAGGCGGGAAATGCTTGTTATTTTTCTGTGACAAAACTACTTAGCTTGCACCTCTTGCCCCGGAACTTAAAAACTAGAATCTATAAAACCATTATCTTACCTCCAGCTCTTTATGAATGCAAAACGTGGCCGCTTACATCAAGGGATGAGTTATGTCTTAAGGTGTTTGAAAATAAAGTATTGCATAGAATATTCGGACCGAAGAAGGATGAGTTAACTGGAGAGTTTAGAGTTACACCACGCCGAATTGTGTGAACTGTATCCAGTTAATATAATTGAAGTGATTACATCATGGCAAATCAAATGGGCTTGTAAAATTTGTAGTAGACATCCCCCTGTATTTACTCCTTTATGTGACATTGTGTGAGGGAATGAGAAGGAATCAGGTGAGTCAATTCATTCAAAGTATATTTACTCAGTCCCACATTTCATATATATACTCTTATTGTTTCTTGTCGCTCAGTGTCACGAAAAGGTTATTTACAATTAGCAGCAGCCGCCAAAACAAGTTATTTACTACTTCCCCCAAACGAAATATTTATAATTGCTGCCAAAAAACGTCATTTACAATTAACTCTTAAACATATTCTTTACAAATTGTTGGGCTTAGTAACAAATTCATAAAAGGTTAATATTTGCTGTACCGAATGGTAAACATCCAAGAGCTAGAGCGAAGTGAAGGTGGGAAGATTGCATTAAAGGCAATATAAAAGGACTGGGTTTGGATAGCGAATGGTGGAGGGAGGTGTGTAATAAGCAATTGGTGGTGTCGGCTTCGAACCATCGGGTTCGCTAAGCATTTTATTATTTATTTATTGAAAATTAATTTTTTATAAATTTAAACATAACATAACAAAATACATTTTGTCAGATAGAGCAACATCACCGCATAGGCACATAAAGCTATTATTTATATAACATTCTTATAATGAAAAAAATTTAATGGATTCTGCAATAAATGGTAAGATAAATTAATTCATACCGTTCTATTATCTTTTTCCTTGCTCTATTACAAAGTTTATCAGTTAATAAATTAAATTCTTCAGGTGTCATAGAATTGCAGTCTTTAGTCAGTTCACTCATTGGAATAACAAGCATATCTTTGAATCTAATAAATAAAACATTATAAATAAATAACTCATACTGGAAAGTAAATAAATTATAAATCATTATATAAAAATAGAGAATTACTCATCAAATAAATTTCTGATCTCAGTAACAACAGGATGTGAAAGATGGTAGCGATAAGAAAATCTCTGTGAGTTGCATGAGTATGATATATGCCAGGGCACTGGAGCTCTAAGAACCATTGCAGGGTATCTAACTGGATAAGTACAGATCATCAGTCTATTTTTTTCTGAATCATCAGTCAGAATATAATCCAATATAGCAACCTTCATAGAAAGATAGTAATCTTGTCGAATTTCTTCTGCTATTAAAGTAAGTAACTTTGATAATCTGAAAATTAATCACAAAATACCTGGTCAATACCATGTCTTATTTTAAGTTTAAAATATTTTAATGATTACCTTTCACTTCTAATCTCAGGAATTTTATTTCTAGCTCTTTTCAACCACTTTTCATGGTAAGGTTGAATAACAGAAACTGGGATTTCCTAAAAAGAAGAAGAAAAAAAAAACTGTCAACTATAGCACAATCATGTTATTTCCAAAGATATTTCCATTCCATATTCCAATGATATTAAATAGATAAGACTAAAAATCTAGTGCGCTCATCACACGACTTTCACTTATCCTCTTATTAGCAGAAATAAGTATTTTCAGACAAAGGGGAAGTGAAAGTAAAAATTATATAGAGCTATATTTATTTGCATTTCATTGATGGTATTTTTATTTGTTTAATTATTTTTTTCTTTTTTTTAATAAATATTGGTTTAGACATTTTTTGTTTATGATTTACAAAAAAAATATTTTTTCCTTCAGTATAAATACTTTATTCTTTCATTTACATATTCAATGTTTTGGGGCTATGACAACGGTCAATGAAACAATGTAAGGACAATTAGGATGTTCCTAAATAGAAAAAAAAATATATGATGTTATAACAAATTATAGACTTTAATTATAAGACAATTTTTTTAGGAACAGAAAAAAAAGGGAAATTGTGAAAGATGGGTCAGAGCCCTGAAATGTTGAATATTTAAATGGATAATTAAAGTATTAATATCAGGAGGAAGAAATATTTTTTCATTAATCATAAAGATACTAGATAAGATACAAACCTTTCCAGATAAAAACAGGGCTAAAACAAGGCGACGGCTTGTCGCCCATACTTTTCAACATAGTCAACATAGAAAAAGAATAGCTCAGGAGCCATAGTAGGGAACATGCAATCATATAAAAATGAGTTGTTTGGCAATTGCAGACGATCTCGCAATTTTGACAGAATCAGAAGAAGAGACTATTAGTCAAATAAATACCCTAAAAATAATAGCAGAAAAAGCAGGCCTACAAATATTATATGAAAAAACAGAACTCATGAGTATTGAAATAAATTTCAAGAAAAAAGCAGTAAACACTAAAAATGGAAAAATAAAAGTGACCTATTATTAAATATTATGTTACAATGTTAGGGATGAATGAGGAAAGATTGAACAAAAAGATCTTTAACAAAATTTTTAGCTACAAAAGCATGGGAGGATATACAAAGTAGATAAGTGAAGAATTAAAGAAACTTAAAATTTCAGATGCCAGTAAGGGAGAACACTGAAAAATCTCACCAATATTGGAAGAGAAAAAAGTTATCACACTTTTTGTGATTTTCAAAAATGGTTGGGTAGGTTGCCTTAGGTCAAAATTGTAGAAAATTTTTTTTATTTTTCTATCGCAATGAAAATTCGTATTTGAAGGGCTTTTGAGCTGTGAAATACAAATCTCAACACTGTTTCTCCTTATAAAAATATTTATACACACTTTGCTCCCAGGATCGGTTAAAATTTAAGAATATCTAATCAATTTTCATGATTTCTTTTCTTCATTTTGTAAGGAATTTAGTAAATTTTCAAATAATAATGGGTCTAATAAAAAAATGTATACTTTTTAAGTAACTCGTAAATACAGTTTCTTTTCATTCATAACTTTTTTCCTTGAAATTTCGGGTGGATGTCACTATGATTGTCACTGCTCCATTTAATACCCTTTCGTTTGATACCTCATTCATCAAAATACATTGCTCCTGAGAGTTGGAAAAGGGGTCGTTGCGGCAAAAAACAGACATATTATATTATAAGATTTTTATGTGTATGGTTTTTGAAAAGTACGAATAACTACGACAATTTTTAGATTGTCCTCTACAAAACGAAGAAAATAAATAATGGAAATCGATTAGAAATTAGTAAATTAGGAACAATTTGAACTGACCCTAGGAACAAAGGGTGTATAAATTAACTTCAATATGCTTTCAGCTATTCGGTAGAAAATTGGAGGATTATTTACAAAGATACAGCCTATTGTAATTTATGTATTATTGCTTCAACAAAGTGTTATAATATAATAATTATCATTTTTACGTGTGTGGTTTTTGAAAAGTACGGATAACTCTGATTTGTAAGATTGATTAATTGCCTTTTAAAGCCCTAAAATGTACAGTTTTGCAGTTACCGCCTGAGCCCAACCTTACATCTGCGATAGGAAATCTTGAAACCACTGTTGTCATGGATTCCGATTCATATAAAAAGTACAATTTCCAGCTCTCTATAGTTACAAATCGAGTGCACCTCCAGCTGAAAAGAGTATAAGAGATCAGCCTAGCATGACTACGAATGGGACACTCAAGGCTAACACATGAACACCTAATGACAAAGAGGGCATCTCCTACTCAAGGCTAACACATGAACACCTAATGACAAAGAGGGCATCTCCTAAGTGTCTTTCCTGCGTGGTAAATATCACTGTGATGCACACCTAGACAGATATATAACAATTTATTCTTTTTGTAAATGTTAATGTTTTTTAACTTCAAGTTTACTATTGTTTTTTATATTGTGTAATATGGAGATCGTGTAAGAGCTAAAATGACCCGTAAGTGGTTAGAAAGTCTTCATGAAATAAATACAATATAAACTATCTTTTATTACTAATTGATAATTGGTTGACTGTCGTGGATAATGAAGAGAAGAATAGTTGGGGTGGTCAGTCAAAAAGGAAGGCAATAAATAAATGATAATATTTATTTTTTACATATGCCGACGTTTCGACCTGAAGTTCAGGCCTTCATCAGGGCTAAGAAAATAACCAGATAACAAGGTATGAGAAACATAAGTAGTGATGGTAAAAAAAAAATAAAATAATAATAAAAAATTAATAAAAAAAATAAAATAAATAAATATAAAGTAAAATGAAATTGTTAGAATAATGACTAAGAACTAAGAGATAAATAATAATAACCGTTACAGAGTGTGGAATGATGAAGTAGGCATAATCAAAAAGGGTGACATAAGTGTTACAATGGGAATCTTAGAATAAAATGTAAAACATAAAAAAGAAATATGAAGTTATATAAGAAATGAAAATAAATAGTAAAATTAAAACATTGAGAATGGAGTAGTTAGATAGAAAATTGAGATATTGTAAAGTCTATCAAGATGTACAGACAATGTATAATATAATAAAGTATTAAAACAGAGAAAAGGAAGGAGGGAAGAAATTGAGAAAGCTGAAATAAATAAAATAAATAAATAAAGAAATAAAAAAAGTACTACCTGTATCCTTAAGTGTTGCAGGGAGAATAAAAGTCGTTACAAGGGAGGGGGAGAGAGAAGAGATGTGTAGGTGGCGACATCTCTAACGGTTATCCGACGATGTTTGAACTAAAGCGCTGGAAGCGTAAATAGGTACGAGAGATATATTACTCAGAAAAATTGAACGAAAGTTAATAGAAAGTGAAAGAAAAATAACTATTGAGTAATAGGGAGAATAATTGAAATAAAAATATATTATATATATATATATATATATATATATATATATATATATATATATATATATATATATATATATATATACACACACATGCACATACACATACATACACACACACACATATATATATATATATATATAAGGAAGTTGTCAGCAAAAAGGAAAGGAATATAACTATGGATGTTTTAATAAATTCGGCATTTGGGAATAGGCTAAAGAAAAGTTCTGTTTGTCAGTTTTTAGATTCACTGTCTTTGGTTGAAGTTGGATGTGGAGGGTTTCAGAAATGAGTCGTTTGTCATGGTTGAGAACTGTGGCAAGGATGGATGTTTTGTCGAAATCAAATGAATGATTGAGGGAGAGAGAATGTTCGGATAAGTTGGAGGCGGTAAAATTATGAGAGGATACAGAATATTTGTGTTGGGTTATGCGGTCTTTTACGAGATTTTTGGTTTCACCAATATAGGATGAAAAACAATTGGGGGTAGAACATGGAATACGGTAAACGATATGAGTGGTGTGAACATCTTGGAACAGGATCTTTTAGGGATGTGTATAATTTAGAGAGTGTGTTGTGAGATTTGAATGCAAGTTGTAAGTTAGGGTTAGTAGATCATAAAACTTTGTTGATGTTGTCTGAAAGGTTAGGAATATAAGTTAGAGATCTGTATATAGGGGCTGAAATGGGTTGTGGAGAATTAGTGGAAGTTGAGATTAAGGAAGAGCGGTTATTGTGGTCTGTTATAAGTTTGTTAATGACATGGAGAGGAAAATTATTGTTTGACAGGATCTGTTTTATGCGTTTGATATTGGTAACATGAAATTGGGGATCAGAGAGGGAGAGACTACGGTGGATGAGATTTTTCGCAACGTTAATTTTTTGGTGGTAGGGATGTTTAGAATGGAAATTTAGGAGTCTGCCAGTGTAAGTTGGTTTAGTGTACCAGTCTGTGGATATGGTGTTATTGGGATTTTTAATGATTAGAAGGTCGAAAAAGGGAGAGAATTATTGAGTTCGCGTTGTACTTTAAAATTGAGGCGGGGGTGGTAAGAGTTAAAATGTGATAGGATATCGGGAATTTTATTTGGATTGATGATTAGGAGGAGGTCGTCTACGTATTTTCGAATAAAGATGATATCGTCAGGGTAAAGAGGGATAATGGAGTCTAGAAGATCATTGAGAACGATGTTGGAGATGTCGGGAGCGAGGGGGTTACCCATTGCTAGTCCGGAGATTTGGTTAAAAAATTGTCCTTGGAAAGTGAGGTAGCCTGATTTACAGCATAGATGAAGGGATTCGAGATATGAGGAGCGGTTAAGTGAGGTGTGAGGTTCAATGATAGTCCAATTGTCGTCTATTATAGTAAGTGCCTTGTCTATGGGTATGTTCGTAAATAAACTTTCAACATCGAAGGAGCAAAGAATGAAATTGTCTGGAATGTTAAAGGAGAGTAGCTGTTCACGGAGATGGAATGAGTTTTGTACATCATAAGGGTTGTTGTGGCTGAAGATTTGTAAGGAAGGTAGTAAGAATTTGCTAAGTTTAACAGAAGGAGAATTAATGTTGGAAGTGATCGGACGGAGTGGGGTGCCGGGTTTGTGGATTTTAGGAAGTCCATAAAAACAGGGGAGCAACTGATAATTGTAGGAGATAAGGTTTCTGTAAGTAGGATAGTTTATGAGTTTAGAATTTAAAAGATTTTTTAGGTGTAGGTTAAATTTGGTTTTTAATGATGAGGTGGGATCACGGGATGTAGGAGAGTAAGTGGAACGGTCTGATAGGAGTAAAGTCATTTTGTCAGTATATTCTGTACGGTCCATAATTACAGTTTTGTTGCCTTTATCAGCTCTGGTTATGATTATATTATCATGGGATTTTAAAAAGGATCGGATAAAAGAGAGGTCTTTGAAAAATTCAGGAGTAAAAGAAGAAGAGGAGAGCGGTAGGTGTAAGAGATAATTGGAAATAATATTAAAGATGGAAACGCGTGACAACTCCTTATTTTCTGTTAAAGTGGTGAAAAAATCGTCTGCGTAAATATGTTCGAGATCAGAGATAAGCTGTGGAATAACTTTGACAGAAGTGTTGGGTATGGAAAAATTAGGTCCTAAACTTAAAATATTAGTAACTTTGGAGGGGATGTCAGTGGAAGAGATATTGTCAACCCATTCTTCTTTCGAGTGGATAAACCTTGGTTTTAAGAGTGACCTGGTATGGTGTCTAAATCAACCCCCAATATCTCAGAAAAAAAAACTTTAAAAATAAAAACTAATTTAATTTGGCCATAATTTCTAACATCAAACGCATCCAATCCTTCCAGTCAAAGATCCTTCGAACAATAGTCGATGCTCCTTTCTATGCAACTAACAAAACCCTACATCATGACCTCAACATCCCATTTGTCCTAGATCTTATCCCAAAAAAATTCTCCAAATTCCACCAGAACCTTACCTATCATCCAAATCCTCTTGCACAATTCCTATCAAGCACCATCCATCCCTATAATTCTCCAAGAAGGTTGAAAAGGCAGTGGCCCCACGACCTTTTGTAGATTGTATATATTGCAGTTCTGGCAATGACCAGATTCTTCACTCAAGACATGAGTGTATGTGGCTAAAGTGCTCTCGCTCAATCTCCGCTGGCTTTAGTACCAGTGATGCGGTTGAGAGAGTAGAGCAGGATTTTTCTGAAGTCTGCCTCGGAGATCCCTTGCCTGATTGAAACTGTGTATATATTATGCATGTGTTTTTTCATTGTTTTAATTTTGTTATTTTTAAGTTATTTTATTATATTTATTGTATATACTTTTTGATTATTATGTATAGTTATATTTTGCTTCTATTTATTTTATATTTTTTGTACATATAGGGTGAATGTTATCCTATCTCACTATAACTAATGTCCAAGTGACAGATTATTGTAATATTCAATAAATAAATGATAAAAAAAAAATTGGCCATAACAGAAAAAATATGCAATTCACGATGGATTAAATCCATGAATAATTAAAGGTTATAAAATTTCCAACAAAAACAAAATTATATCGAAATCGGACCATTATGAGCAAAGATATAGGCTACAGTAAACTGTACAAAAGTTTAGGTTTATTATTATAAATTAACTATTTTAATTCGACCAAGCAAAGAAAAAAGTATACCTCCGTCTTACTTTAAATAATATTAGTTTTCAAAAATTATAATTAATAATTTTTTCGCCACTCTCCGTTACCTTCTACTACCTTGAATATTACATTTTTTTTCTTCTAAAATTTTCTGCTTTCCAACTATATATTATACGTATAGCTTCTGACTAGTATTTCTAGAGATTCATTTTCGACCTCTGTGGAGACAGCGGGCATTCAATGTGAACCGCCAAAACTGCTCTACCTACCTAATCCATAGACACTGTTTATTGCCTTATTAATTAATTAATTTTAAATTGTTAAAATATGAAATCCATTGTCGATAAATATGTATAAAAAAGTGAAATGCGAAATAGCAGAAAATCTATGTATAATGAAAATAATAACAAATGAAATGAACATGCTAACAAATTAATAAATGAAAGAATAAATTAATAATATTTCTCTTAAGAAGAGAGGTTTACCAGAGACCAGATCGTTCACACGTACTCCTAACAGTTATGGTATCCATTATATTTCATTTTGAAAATTATAATTTTCATCATTTATTCATAAAATTTAATATCTTAAAGAAACTAACCTCCTGTAAGTAATGCAAAATTCTTTCTATATCATTTTGATGAACTTCAATATTTTGCTCATACTCAACTTCTGTAAGTAAAATTTTTTTCTGATCATCAATATCAACAGCAGAATCACCATCCATAGCTTTAATAAACCTGTTGATTTAAATATAAATATTGATAATAATATCATTATATTAACTATCTAATAAATTTGCTGGCTATGAAAAGAAACGGAATAAGCAACTTTACGAAATTTATAATATTTAATAATTATATTAACTTCCTTTTAGAGAGGTTACAAAAGAAAAATACAAATTAATTTATTTCTATGTTATTATGTTACTAAAGTTTTTATGTTCATAATTTCTTAAAATGATATTTGTGATAGCAATATAATTTGATTGTTCAACCCAATTTCATGTTAATCACATCCAAATAATAAAAAAAATGTTCTTCAGGAGATTAAAGAAAACAATGATTCAGGGATTATATGCAGTAATTAATATTATAGATTGCATTAGGCTCATATATTAGTCCTGTATCTACAGGAGATTTAACCAAGTGATTAGTGGCAGAAGGTTTTAAAATTGAAAACAGTAGAGATGACAAGGGGAAGTAAATGTGTAGGGTAACGGAAGGTGTAGAGAGAGAGATGGGTGCGGGAATCTCCCCAACTTTTCGCGGAGCGATCGAGCGTTAGTGCCCTACCCACTGCTTATGAGTTCCTAGATCTCCTTATCCCTATCAACGCCTGTTGTCACCTCCATGTGGCGTCCCGCCGTGGAGTCCGATGGGACTCGTGGACTATCCATATAAAACAGAACATGGTCTATTATGTAGATTGCTGGAGATCCGTGGGATAACAGTCCTAGCAGGCGAGACGCCTGCGGCTCTGGTGACCAGTATAGCCGCTGGGCTGGGTATCAAAATTAGTGTGGAGGATGTGGATGTGATACAGCACCACACAAGCAAGAAGGACGACTCGTGACCGCCGCCTGTAATAGCACATTTCGTCAGGCAGTCAGTGAAGGACCACCTGATAGTGAGAAAAAAAGTGAAGAGAGACTTCTCGACACGTGATATTGGGTGGCATGAAAACGACTGCCACCGAATTTATTTCAGCGAGGAGATGACCCCTACGAACAGGCACCTCTACTGGCTTGCCCTGTAGAAGAGAACGGCTGGGAAGATAAGATACGTATGGTTTGCTGCTGGCAGAGTGCGATGCAGAAAAGAGGACAGCCATCAAGTAATCTTGATTGATCAGGCATCGGATATCAACGCTTTCGCCTGACTGGACATGTTTCATCAAGTGCAGTAATAAAAATTACGCAGGTGAATTAAAAACGAAGTTGAGGTATCAAAGTTCCCTTTTTAATGAAACCAATAATAAACAAGGAAGCAAGTCTGAAGATGTCACTATTATACAGAGCTCACCTATTCAAGATGGTGAACTACTAGGAAGTATTAATGATGAAAGTACTAAGGAAACTAAAGATGGAGAGGATCCTACAAATGAACAAAGTATTGAAAACATTGTAGTTGATAATAATGAAAATTTAGATGGAAGTCATACTAATGAAGAAATTAAGAAAACAACTGATCATGGAAAGGATTTTGGGACAGTTGTTATTTCAGAAGAATCCAGTACCGAAATAATCATTGATAGTGAGCCACCTGGAGCTGAGAAAGAGATTATTTATGAAGAAGAAGAAACATTAATTGAAAAGGAATTACTGAAGGAAGATGAGTCTGGATCTGATAACATCAACTCTGATTTGCTAGTAATAGAAGAGATTGATTTTGACATTTTAATTGAAGATGAAAAACGAGAAACTTCAACTGACATCACAACTGTAGATAGACCTTCTAAACCTAAGGACAAAGTTATAGACATCAGGGATCCAGAAGAAATTAAAGCTGATAAGGGACCTTACCGGATAAAACAAAAAATTGTTGTTATAGACCCAGGTTAGGAGAATGATAAAATAAAATTTTTGGAAATGTATGGTTACAAACACAGGCTTGTCTTAGGGAAACAAAATAGAAAAGTTTAATAATAAATAATATAAATTACTAAATTTATTCCCATTTTAGACCTAAAACATTTTTTTACATGTAATATTAACTTTTAATTAGCGATAACAGGATTTAAATGTTCACCTTAAACTATCCAGTAATTTTTCTTGCACACCTAAAACCGCTTATTCTGTTTGTATATATTGTCTAATTTTATATATCGTGTATTTTGTATATAATCATTTAAATAATTTTGTTTCTCTCATTGATACATAATGTATTTAGGAATGATTTTAAGTATGCACATTAAAATTTCAAATTTCCATTACACAAAAAGTTCATTTCATCACAGTTATTTTCTTAAATTTTGTTGTTCTTACTCGAACACAAAATTTAAAAGTTAAACGGTAGGGATATGTAGTAGACATCCCCCTGTATTTACTCCTTTAGACTACATTGTGTGAGGGAATGAGAAGGAATATATAATATATAGGAATGTGAGGTTGCACTGTGAATTGTACTCAATCGTGCAGTGGACGAATTGCTCATTGGAAAATCTCATATCGATAAACAATCGAAAAGAAGAAAAAAGGTCCGATCAGGTAGCAGCAGCTGGAAGAGGACGCCAAGCACTTTAGGCCTAGACACCAACACAAGAAGACGTCATCATCTGGGAAGGGAGGCTTACTACATTGAAGACTAAGAACATCAAGCCTACAGTTATTAGACTTTAATATATTCATTTATTATCAGTTGTTAAAATAAATTGATTTGTTAGACAGGAGTGAATAGTCCTTTTATTTAGTTGTCCTACAGGCCTCACAATTGAAGAATAAACCAGGTGAGTCAATTCATTCAAATTGTTTACTAAGTCCCACATTTCATATATGTATTCTTATTGTTTCTTCTCACACAGGGTCATAAAAGGTATTAGATTCCCGAATTCCCAACGACAGTTAAACACCCTCAAAAAGTCGATATCCAGTGCCAGGGTTTTGATTTAATGATTCACGAGTGTAAATAACCTCAATCCCTGATATAAAAGCGGAAGGCTATTCGCCTATTCCCGCCAAAACATCTTTATTTTACATTTAAATTTCAATAGGTTATTTAAAGTTGAGTGGATTCTACTTTCTGAATCCCTGGAGTGAACCCTAACTCTCTGTTGCTGAAGATCTTTTTAAGTGGTGGTCATGCAGACCAGCTGCTCCTTGCAACTACTGAACAACTGCCATGATTACCCAACGTTCTATTCCACATTCTTGAAAACTACCATCACCCCGAATCTTGTCTTTGCAACCAACAATTTAGCATGTACGTGTTAAAGGGAAGTGCTGGGTCAATTAGACAGAAGTCACCACAGATCAATAAAAATCACAGTAGATTTATTTGCACCGGAGTCTGAGGCAATTCCATTGCCCACATGGAACTTCAAAAAAGCAAAGTGGGAGCAATACAGAACACTGTCAGACAAGTGCACCTCCTCTTCAAATGTTATATCTAAGAAGCTTTCTTTTTCTTAAAGGAACTTCACTGCAACCATAACAAAAGCAGCGATTAAAAGTATCCCTAGGAGAGCTTTACAAACCTTACTGAACAGATGAGATAGGAAATCTTGAAAAAAACTTAACAAGGTGCAGAAACAAAGCTGAACAAAACCTCAATGTTGGAACTAACATAAAATTGAAGAAGGCTTCAGCAATATTAAAGTAAGGTACGAGGTCTGGACAGGTATACTCTTAAAATCTGCAAATAAGGGTGTTATAGGAAGGCCTTGATCTGGCTCGAAAAAGATCAAGGCCTTCCTATAACACCCTTATTTGCAGATTTTAAGAGTATACCTGTCCAGACCTCGTACCTTGTCAAATACCTTTTTTATGTCCACCCATACAGCCAGTGTACACCTGTTCTTGAAATCTGTCTTCAATTTCCTGTGCTATATGGGCAGCTTGGTCTATCGTGGATCTGAATTTTCGGAACCCCACTTGCTTTGGCATGAGAAGAATGTTTATTTCCAGTAGCCATACGATCCGGTTATTAACTAGTCTCTCCAGGAGCATGCCTAAGCAACTTAGGAGTATGATTGGGCTAAAGCTATTCAGGTCATTCTTTGGTTTTCCTGGTTTTGGTACTGGAATCACAACAGCACCATCTTTCCATGTATCGAGTATTATGCCTTCTTTCCAGCTAGTATTAAATAGTTTCAGGAAGCGTTTCTTTGCTTAAGCTCCGAGGTTTATTAAGAGTTAATTCATAATAGGGCCTAGGAAGCTTTACAATTTTAGCATTTTAATGAACTGAAAAGTGCATCCAGTACACTCCGTTTGTTTAAAATTCTTCAGGAACTTATTAAGTTGTCTCTTTACAGTTATCTTGCTTGTTGAATGGATCTGCAAGTTTCCAATTCCATTCAAGTGCTTCACAAAAAGATCAGCAGCAGGTTTTCCCGACAGCAGTCTGCCATTTTTTTCAATAGTAAGTGGTTTTAGAGTAGAGTAATCTCCTCCAAGTGTTTTTGCAAGTTTCCAAAGTTTATTGCTACTTCTCTCCATGTTAAAGTATTAAGTTTTCCTAACCCAAGTGTCTTTCTTTGAAGTCTAAATCTCATACTTTAATATTGCTGAAGCCTTCTTCAATTTTATGTTAGTTCCAACATTGAGGTTTTGTTCAGCTTTGTTTCTGCACCTTGTTAAGTTTTTTTCAAGATTTCCTATCTCATCTGTTCAGTAAGGTTTGTAAAGCTCTCCTAGGGATACTTTTAATCGCTGCTTTTGTTATGGTTGCAGTGAAGTTCCTTTAAGAAAAAGAAAGCTTCTTAGATATAACATTTGAAGAGGAGGTGCACTTGTCTGACAGTGTTCTGTATTGCTCCCACTTTGCTTTTTTGAAGTTCCATGTGGGCAATGGAATTGCCTCAGACTCCGGTGCAAATAAATCTACTGTGATTTTTATTGATCTGTGGTGACTTCTGTCTAATTGACCCAGCACTTCCCTTTAACACGTACATGCTAAATTGTTGGTTGCAAAGACAAGATTCGGGGTGATGGTAGTTTTCAAGAATGTGGAATAGAACGTTGGGTAATCATGGCAGTTGTTCAGTAGTTGCAAGGAGCAGCTGGTCTGCATGACCACCACTTCTCCTCTTGCGTCATTATCCACAGGATGGGGGGTGATGCCATCCATTTCAGCATCAAGGTTTTCAGGGATGTGTTGAAGTTATATGGCAGGAACTAGTATAAGTGTTTGTTACCAGGGCTCATTTCTTTACCTATGTATATCCTCCTGTTGGGGTCCCTGCCTAAATGTCTTGTTGAGAAATCCCTCTTTACTTTGCGCAGGCGTATGACCTCATCGCATACTGTCTGGCAGACAAACCGCAAGATGATGGGCGGTGGCAGACGTTCTTCTCTTGTGCTCCTTTTTCTCATAATAATAGACATAATTTTGTTATTCTCAAGGCACTTTGTCCTAGAATAAAGTTATTTTCTATCTATCTAAAGCAAAATTTTCTTGATTTTAGTTCTGTCACCCCTCATTACTTTATAACTACAGCCAATTATGAATTTTCAAACTAAATGCTCATACTTAATTATAATCAATTATTAATTCATTATTAATATGCATTATTCCCAAATATTCATTATTACTGAAAACTTATTGGTCTGCAACATGTAACAATAAAACCATTGCCAGGCACACTTTTGATCGTGGGCAAGAGTGATATCACTCGGGCACCAGTGTGCCTGCGAGCTCTGGGTTGGGAACCTCTGGGTCTAATAACATGTAGGTAGAATAAACTTAACATTAATGAATATGAGAAAAGGCAGACATATAATATAAAATAACGCTAACAATGTTGGGAATAGAAAGTAGCAGAAGCAAAGTTAAATATATATAATAACGGTAATAAAGTTAGGGCTTAACTTTGTTACCATTTTATTATTCATGGTACTATATGATATGCCCGTCACATTGATTTAATTACAGACAGACACCGAACCAAAATTGATCCTTGATGTCTGAAACATAAAACGGGAGTGGAAACTTTCGATTCTGAGCACAAAAATTTTCTTAACTTCTCGCACGAATACAATGCTTCCCTACTTTCGGTAATAAGGAAGCAATATTAAATACAAATTAATTACTACAATAATTGAAGTAAACATAAAATTGTATACCTCTTCTCTTCAAGTAATTTGTTTTCTTTATCCTTCACAAGATCAAACGTTCTGTGCAATTTTTTTTGCGTAATTTTAACTCTTTTTTTTTTAATATGGTCATCATTTAGAAGTTCCTAAAAATTATTTAATCCTTTTATTATTATTCATATTTGAAGTAAAAAGTTTATAAGTATACTAAAAATGAGTGCTCCTCAAAAAGTAACTTACAATTTGATATAAAAAATGCTGCAAATTATTATCAAATGGTTTCTTATTTCTGAACAGTTACATAACAAATTTATCTGGTGTGTTCAGTTACATAACTAATTCCCTCACAAGACTTTACTTTCTCAGCTCCTAGGATCTATTAGAAGGAATGTTCGGACATTCGTCCAATATTTTTTGATCTATCACCAAAAAAAATTTGATTGAAACCAGTGATCCACTGACTGTAACCTCCCATTATAAGTAGCAGAATGAAAGTATTTTTTTTTTAAGTCAGTTTAGTATTAATTGTTATTCCTAATCATTTTACATTATTATCTTCATAAACTAGCTGTGTCCCACAGTTTCAACCACATTAAATTTGGATTAAAATGTCTATTTCATACTCATGATGAATACGTGAATCACTTCTTTTCATCAAGATATCATTTTCATTAAAAAATGTCGATGACCTCATACTTGTTCTTAACCCTGACAGCATTCCTCAAATCCTTTCCTCATTCAACTCTTACTAACCCCTTCTTGGTTTCACTATTGAGAAAGAAGTTAACAATTCACTCCCCTTCTTAGAACTCCTAATAATCAAAAACACTAACGGTTATATTTCTAGTGACTAGAATACTAAACCCACGTCCTCAGGCAGACTACTTAACTTTTATTTTCAATACAAATACCACCAAAAAATCAATACCGCCAAAAACCTTATTCACAGATTTCTCTCTTTATTTGATCCAGAATATCACCAAATCAACACTCAGCATGTCAAAAATATACTCCTTTCAATAATTTCTCTCTCAACACTATACTTAAACTTTTAAACAGCGATACAACAAAAAACAGGGCAATCTCTCCTTCTCTCAATTCCTCACAATCACCTACAACTTCTTTCATATACAAATCTCTCCCTTATATTCCTATTCTTTCAGATAATACACAAAAATTCCTAAAATCGACTATAACCAACTTATGTCTTGGCTTTAAGTCCCATGACAAACTTTCTTTCCTTTTCAATAACTTAAAGGATCCCATACTTTTACACCGATCTAATGTAGTTTACCGGATACCTTGCTCTACTCCTAATTGTAATAGTTCCTATATTGGCGAAACAAAAAAACATCTCAAAATCCGTATTTCCCAACATAAAACATCTATAACTTCCTGGAACCCTTCCTAATTATCCATACCTCACTTTCTAAGCCTTAACCCTCAACCATGCATTTGAAAACCTCTATTCTTGACATGGTCCCCAACCATAAAAAAGACTCATTTCCGAATCCATCCACATTGAACAGAATCCTGTTAATCATAAAGTAGATAAAAACTGCATTTCTTTAACATATAGGCACATTTTAAATCTTATAAGTGAAAAATAACTTCTTTATTACATTATCTATTATTCTTGTTTATTTATTTTTTATCTCAATTTTTATTGATTAATTTAATTTAATCATTCATTATTTCCACGTTGTATGATCTCTCTTTTATTTTATATTTATATTCTACATCAATGTACGATCATCCGTTTTTACTTTGTATTCATTGTACTTTTAACCATTGTGTCTCAATATTATCTAATATTTAAATGTAATTTTCTCACTAAATGTAATATGTACAACTAATTATAATTATAATTATTCATATTTGTTTCTTCTCTATACTTCTAAATTAGTTTTGCAATGTATGGTCTCTTATTTATATATTTACATTTTGCTTCTTTAATTTCTTTTTATTCACATTGTACTTCTATCTATAATTTATTAATTCTATTTTATATGTATATTTATAATTTATTAATTCATAGATATCGTATTTTTTCTTGTATCCATCAATATCTTCCAATTTTAGAAACTGTAATATTCCAGGTTTTGTTTTGCTTTTACTACTTACCTCCTCACCACTCCCCAATTAGGTCAGCGAATTTCTCCAAGGGTGCTCTACCCAAGTTTTTTAAGTTTTAACTGGGACTCCTTGCTGAACAAAACTGTAAGTCTCTATTTTTATTCTTTTATTTTTATTTTTTTTTGTTTTTATTTTCTTCCTTCACATCTCTGTATGTCCATTATTTCATATTATTTATCCTTTTCTTCCAATTTCTCCTTGAGATCTGTAGGAGTATATTCATAATTGCACATATTATATTATATATTATACTACAACTGTTACCATTTACTTACTTCAGTTTAGGATCTTGTTACTTAGTTTACTCTGTTTATATAGTTTATTGTTTTTAATATTTCAATGTGCTTACTTTTTACAATTTCAATAAGTTTATTCACCTTTTTTTATAATTTTAATCTAAATATTATGTAACTTCCACAATTTTCTATATCCTTTTATATCTTGTCTGTTCTAGCTCTGGTGAAGACCTGCAAAGTCGGGTCGAAACGTTGGCTTGAAAAAAAATAGTTTTTCCACTATTTTAGTCTAATTATGACCGGACCATTTCCTTCCTCTAAAATACACAAGGGTTAACTATTAAGTATTCAATAAAAATTATTATTATTGTATCTCAGGTATGGGTTACTGATGATCAGATCAAAAGACTCAGGCAGACTAAAATTATTTACACTAAACACTTTAATTTTAAAATAAAGTCATACATGAATTGACAAGCTAACCTTTTTTCTATATAGTTTCTTCCTTTCTTTGTATCACTGAATTTATTTGTCTTCTAACACTTTCCTATGTTCTGCCAAACACACCTTCCAAAATGGTAACACTTTCATCCACTCAACTCAAGCTCCCTGGTACATCCTCTCTCATATAGTTCCAAATAACCAACTTCCGATAAGGTAATATTCTCTCTTTTTTTTTTTTTTTTTTTTCCTTCTTTCCCCCCCGCTGTACCTTAGGGCAACCCTATACCTGCAGTACATCCAATTTTCTAACTGACAATTATGAAATGAAAAAAATGCTTTATTATTCTGGGACTGTTGTCCCTTAAGAACAAAATATGAATACAGATTATATGTCTGTGTGGCTACAATTAAATTGTATATTTACAATGAAAGTTGACTTACGATAAAAATACAGAAAAGAGAAAGAAAAGAACAAGTAAATTGTACATATGTATGAGAAACTAAAATAACCTTAATAAATTGAGGTAGTCTCTGGTGGTGCTCAGATATTTCTCTTAGATATATTTCACAATCATTCGGATTGAGAAAGGAGTAGGTGCTTAAAGAGGAGAGGTTTAAACGAGGAAACTGATTGAGCGTGTCGAATATCAGCTCGGATGGAATTCCAGAGGGAGGCGGCTTGTATTACAAAGGATTTGTCAAACCCAGCAGTTCGGTGAGGAGGAGGATAGAGGTCGGAAGTACGAGATCTGGTGGGACGGGATTGGATGGAACATTTGAATTGTAAGCTGTGAAAAATATAGGAGGGTCGATGGGTTCTAATGATTTGGTACAGAAAGGTGGCTAGGAAGTACTGACGGCGATAGGATGGGTAGAGCCACCTCAACTCAGTGTAATACTGGGTAATATGTGTATCCCTTGAGATTCCGAAAACAAATCGTAGTGCGCAATTCATTAGGCGTTTAAGTTTGGCCTCGGAATCTCCCGGGAGTCCACCGTACACCATACAGCCATAGTCGAAGTGGGGGAAAACAAGGGAGGAAACTAGGAGTTGACGGGACTTATATGGAAGGAGATATCGTAGACGATTGAACTGTTTTAGGGTGGAGATAGTGCGACGGGAAATTTGGGAGATGTGAGGTTTCCAGGATAGGGATTGATCGAAAGTAACATCTAGGTTTTTAACGGTGGTGTAGAATAAGATAGGTGAGTTGTTCAGGAAGAGATTGGGAGATACCGGGGAGGATTTGAGGAGTGAAGGGGATCCGATCAAGATGGCTTTTGTCTTCTCGGCGTTCAGAGTGAGCCTATTGAGGTTTGCCCAAGCACTTATTCTGTCAATATCTTCCTGAAGTTTTTGAGTGGAATCTGAGATATCTGTCGGATTAAAGGAGAGGTAAATTTGAATGTCGTCGGCATATAAGTGGTAATGACAGTGCAGGATAGAGGATGGGAGGTCATTTATATAGATGGAGAAAAGGGTGGGAGATAAGGAAGAGCCTTGTGGGACGCCTCTGGTCAGAGGTAGAGATTCTGATGGTGGGTTATTAGGAATTACAACGTACTGGGAGCGACCGGTTAGGAAGGATTGGAACCAATTAAGGGAACTAGAAGAAAAAGAGATATTTTTAAGTTTTGTTAGGAGGATGTTGTGGTCTACTGAATCAAAAGCTTTGGAGAAGTCTAGGAGAATAAGGATGGTTAGTTTCTGCTGATCTATGGCTGTGTGAAGGTCTTGGGAAATTTTGATTAGGGCAGACTGAGTAGAATAACCAGGCCTGAAACCGGACTGGTAGGGATTTAGGAGATTATTGTCCTCTAAAAAATGGGATAGCTGGGATTGGACTAACCGCTCTAATGGTTTTGAGAGGTTTGAAAGGAGGGAAATCATTAGGAACTGATGGGTTTGAAGTCTTCTTCAATGGGCGTACTAGGGCAGTTTTCCAGGATGTAGGGAAGGTAGCATTTTGAAGAGAATAATTGTATATATGATAAAGGATAGGAAGAATGGATGGCAATGCGGCTTTAATCAGTCTGACTGGGATGTTGTCGGGACCGTAATCATTGGTATGGGACTTCTGAATGGATTTAAGGAGCTCTTCTGGTGTAATATGGGAAAGAAAGAAGTGATCAGGATTAAAGGAAGAGAACATAGGAGCCAGACTGGACGTGGGAGATATGGATGCAAGAGGACAGGAGACAAAGTGAGCGTTGAGGTTATCAGCAGAAACGGAATTGGACTGAGACTGGGGTGCATTACCAATGGTCAGTTTTCTAAGAATAGCCCACGTAGCCTTGGTATTGGGAGAGTTGGATAGGGAATGATGGTA